GATCCTTCCTCTCCTCCCTTGGCTTCATCCAGAGCTGCTCTTTGATAGAAGCGATGAGCCCTGTCCATTTGGCACAAGTGGCCTCTGCCTACTTTCAGTCCTTTTAGCAGCAAGGTGACTAAGTCTTGCTGGGTCTGCCAGCAGCTCACCTGGGAGGCCTTCTCAGCAACCCGTGGAGGTGCAAACTCATGGAATCATAGAACTGGAAGGAACCTCGAGAGGTCATCGAGTCCAGTCCTCTGCCCTAACAGCCGGCCCAAGCACCATCTAGATCATCCCTGACAGGTGTCTGTCTAACCTGCTCTTAAATATCTCCAGTGATGGAGATACCACAACCTCCCTAGGTAATTTATTCCAGTGTTTAACCACCCTGACAGTTAGGAAGTTTTTCCTAATGTCCATCCTAAACTTCAATACTCTTTGCTTCTTAAAGGACCACTCTCTCCATAAGGTAGGCTGTGCCCAGACAACAGGGTCTCTAGCAAGGGCAGAGAATGCATGGGACACTCCATCAAATACCTGTAACCTGCATGAACTTTAAATGACCGAAGCCCAAGTCCTGACGTATAATAGCCCTTTGGGATCTCACAAGAACTGACGATGCTTTAATGCCTCAGTTGAATTTTAGAGGGAACTGTCATGAGCCACCTTGAGCCCATTTAGGTGGATTGAGGCTCTAGAGGTCGATCTTCTAGCATTCAATTTAGCGGGTCTGGTATAGACCCATACATTCAAAGCTGAGGGCAGCCTCTGCCAGCGTCCAGTACTCCTCCTTTTGTGAGGAGTAAGGGAAGCCGATGGTCTCCCTCTGTGTGGACACCGCCAAGGCTTGGCTAAAGATACCTTAAACTGTGTACCGTAAGCTGAGCTTTCTGATCTAATACAGACCAGGCCTTAGAGGGATAAGAGGATGTAACGTGCCCTTTTATTCCAGACACAAGCTACCCATATTGCTGATCTCAGCACAGGGGAGGGAAAAGAAGTTCTGGGGCTGCTAATTTCCATCCTACAGAGGTGGGTGGGGAAAGAGGAGAAGAAGAGAACTCCTCGACCGTGCCAGAAAGCACAGCTGAGCCAGCATACAGGTGAAACAGGTGATAATGAGTACCTGCTTGTCGTTAGTTACTTTTGCATGTGTGAAGCAGGGAATGAATAGAGACTTGGACTCAGCTTGGCCCGGGTATTTCTCCTAGGGCAGCATAACTTTGTGCTGCTCTTTACTCTGGGCTAGTGCTAATGTTGCCCGTTAGCCATTAGTGACTAAGGGAATTTCTGATCCCCTCCCAGCCCATCACCATGGCGACAGGAATTAATTTCACCCCCAGGAGCCTACCAGAGAGCTGTGTCAGGCTTTCTGAAATCTAAACTGCAGTGCTCACATTTCCATTTCTCCGTGTTAGTGACAGCAGCTCCCCCAACATCAATTTGCTTCAGACAGTTTTCAGGCTGCAGGAATCAATACATGAATATTTATGGGGGGGTGACTATTAAATATAGTCTTCTCAGAAGAAATACATAAATAGCAATGGAATTATGGGCGAGTCAGAGGAAACAAAGATGCTGGATACACACTTATAATCCAGATGGAACAAGCTCCTGTGATTATAAGTGAATGCAGAAGCAGCTTTTGAAGGAAATGATCAACCAGAGAGAAGACTTCGCCTTTGGAAATTTCTGATGGGCTGCAACCATTCTGAGGTAGATGGACAGAGATAGTTAGCCAATGGAGAAAAATAAACACTAAACCAGTGGTCAGTACAGTGAGATGCAGAAGAGAAGCATTTGGGAGAACTGAAGAAAAGCCTTAGTAAGATAGAAGAATGACAATAGATTCCTTTCACACTCTGTTTCTGGAAGACAGGCTATTGGGCAAGATGGACCTTTGGTCTGACCCAGTATGGCCATTCTCATGTGCTTATGTGCTTCATTCTGGACAAGGCCTACAGGCTTAGGGGATCTTGGAAGTACTTTTTCCATAAGCTCAGTTTAGTTTCTTTAAACTACGTCTCTATCTTTATATTCACATGTGTGTCTTTGATTCTTTTACCAACTTTTGGTGACTGCCAGCAGGGTTGGTAGTGCCACCTAACTATTAACCTTGCCAACATTTCTCATTATAAGGCCCAGTTTTCTGTTGCTTATAGCTTGACAAAATTTAACCATTTGGGTTGAAATTTTCCATGGAAGGTGTTTGCCTCAGACTGAGATTTTCCGGGAGACTTCAGCTAAACAGCTCATTCCATTTCTGAGACTAAGGCTCACAACTCTGCAGGCCTGCCAATGGGATGGGGGTAAACTGGGCCGGTGGAAGCCCCAGACCATTTAAACAAGGACTCCATTTCAGGCACGTAGCGGGGCCAGCAGCCGTGCGTTCCGGGACGCAGCAAGCTTTTCATCCTGTTCCCCATACGCTAAGAGAGTGAGGGGAAAGTGCTAGCATTCTATGCATTTCTCTCACACTTGGCTGGTGAAGGGAGCTCAGTGGCCAGGTGTGAGAGGCATGCACGGAATGCAAGTACTTTCCCCTCACTCCCTTAGCATCCGGGGAATGGGATGAAAAGCAAGCCACATCCTGGAGTGCACAGCTGCTGCCCCCGCTACATACCCTAAATGACACCCTTGCCTTTAAATCACTACTGGAGTGCCCTGCTGCATGCTCTGAGCAGCTCCGAGGCACCAGGAGGGGGCACTCTGTGCTCTGGGCAGTGCTGCAACTCTAGCACCTGTGCCTTTTGGAGCAGGGACTTGACATTTACCAGGAGGGTGGCTGTTGTATCAAGGAAGTGTCTTTTTCCCATCCCCATGACATCTGCTGAAATGTGGCCACATTATAAGCCTTGAGGAATCCTAGTTTCACATGTTCTTTAGCAATTTTGTATATTTTTAGCAGTTAAATTCCCTTTGCATGTTTGAGTCCCTTAGCGTGTTTGAGCCTCTCTCTAGAGAAATGGTCTGAGGTAAACAGGATAAAGTTTAATAAGGACAAATGCAAAGTGCTCCACTTCAGAAGGAACAATCAGTTTCACACATGCAGAATGGGAAGCGACTGTCTAGCGAGGAGTATGGCAGAAAGAGATCTGGGGGTCATAGTGGACCACAAGCTAAATATGAGTCACCAGCGTGACACTGTTACAAAAAAAGCAAACATGATTCTGGGATGCATTAACAGGTGTCTTGTGAGCAAGACACGAGAAGTCATTCTTCTGCTCTACTCTGCACTGATTAGGCCTCTATTGGAAATTATTATGAAATTATTATGTTCTGATCTGGGCACTACATTTCAAGAAAGATGTGGAGAAACTGGAGACAGTCCAGAGAAGAGCAACACTAATGATTAAAGGTCTAGAGAACATGAGCTGTGAGGGAAGACTGAAAGAATTGGGCTTGTTTAGTTTGGAAAGGAGAAGACTGAGAGGGGGCATGATAGCAGTTTTCAAGTACTTAAAAAGGTGTTACAAGGAGGAGGGAGAAAAATTGTTCTTCTTGTCCTCTGAGGATAGGACAAGAAGCAATGGGCTTAAATTGTAGCAAGGGAGGTTTAGGTTTGGATGTTAGGAAAAAGCTCCCAACTGTCAGGGTGATTAACGCTGGAATAAATTGCAGAGGGGGGTTGTGGATTTTCTGTCACTGGAGATATTTAAGAGCAGGTTGAATAGGCATCCATCAGGGAGGATCTAGACCAGGCATGTCCAAAGTCCGGCCCGCGGGCCAATTGCGGCCCGTGTTCCGGTTTAATACGGCCCCCCAGGTAATTTGGCAATATCTATCTTTTATGGCCCCCAACGAATCCATATGTATTGAGATGAATACATTGTAAAATCTCAGTTAATGTCAGTTGGTCTAAATCAGTTATAAATATATTTGGACACAACATGTATACTTGGTGTTATGTTCCTGTTCATATTTTTTGAACTTAAAAGTTGACAGACAACCTTTATGTCTAGTTTTATGATTCTATGGCTCCCAGAGCTGACCTAACTGCATATGAGACGTCCCACAGCAACAGAGCAATTGAACATGCTTCAAGCCAGAGCTCCAGTGTTAAAACCGGATTTTCTTTGTAATGGCTACTCTGAAATGGGATGGGCCCCAGCACCAGGACTAAGAACTGGGCCTGGGTTAGCAAAGAGGCTGGGACAAGGAGCTAGGGAAGCAGGAGACTAGGGCACAAAGCCAGGTTGGAGGAAAGACTGAGACTGGATGAGAAGCCCAGGGAGAGATAGTAGGACGGCAGCCAATGAGTGGGAGAAGAGAATTGGCTGAAGAATCTATGCCCCTCTCCCCTCCCACACACACTCCCTCCAGAGCCTGGAATAGAACCCAAGACTACAGAGTCTCACCGTTCCTCCTCTGTGAGCAAGGAACTGTGAAACCCTCTGGCAAAGTGTGTGTCCAGGCCTGGCCCACTCCTAGCTCAAGTCTATGCATTGGATCTAAAGGTTCTAACCTGACTGATTGTTCCAGTGAGTGGCAATATGATGCCACATTGTGAAACTGCTGTTTTTTCCTGTTTACTTTATTAAAAAATCATGAACAACACACTCACAAATCCTATGCTGAAAGAACACTCTTAAGATTGCAGAGTCAAGCACTCAAAAGGTTTACTGCACGCTCTCAATTCACCCTCCTTGTGTGTATGTATTCTGCTCATCTTTAATTCAATGATCACATACTATTGTTTCCATAGGACCTTTGCATCATGCAGTTCATAGGGCAGATGTGTTCTAGGGATGAATCCATATAGTGCAGGCAGGGGCGGATGAGAGTGCCGCGGGGCCCCGGGCAGCGAAATTTTGCGGCCCCCCCCCTTTGACACAGCGCATGTGCTATGGCGCCAAGGCACATGCGCGGGGCCTCGGGAAGCACAGGGCCCGGGGCAGCCGCCCCGCTTGCCCTGCCCTAAATCCGTCACTGAGTGCAGGAAATTATGCTCTTATCTGTCAGAATTCCCACTTCTAATACAGCACATTTCATTAACATCCCTGCTTCATTTGTTGCAGAAGTTGGCAGATGCACAGTGAATGAGGCAGTGCACTAAAGGAAGAGAAAGGATAGTCTCAGTTAAGCCATTGAATGCTGCCTTGGAGAATTGATTCTATTCATGCTTCTTCCACTGAGTTCCTGGGTGATGCTGGACAAGTCACTTAAAACATATTTTCAGAGGTACATTCCTTATTGTCTGGGTGCCCCAGCTGGTATTCTGGGTTTTGATTTGTAGAAATGAGAAGCAAAGGGACCTGCACTCTAAACACTGAGGCTGAGTCTACACTGGCATGATTTTGCGCAAATACTTTTAACAGAAAAGTTTTTCCGTTAAAAGTATTTGTGCAAGAGAGCATCTATACTGGCATGTGCCTTTGAGCAAAACATTTGCTTTTGCACAAAAGCATCCGTGCCAGTGTAGATGCGCTCTTGCGCAAGAAAATTCTGATGGCCATTTTAGCCATCAGGCTTTCTTGCGCAAGAAATTGATGTTACCTGTCTACACTGGCCTTTTGCGCAAGACCGCTTGCGTAAGAGGACTTATCCCTGAGTGGGAGCATCAGAGTATTTGTGCAAGAAGCACTGATTTCATACAGTAGAACATCAGCGTTCTTGTGCAAATACTCGCAGCCAGTGTAGACAGGTGGCAAGATTTTGTGCAAAAGCAGCCACTTCTGCGCAAAATCTTGCCAATGTAGACACAGCCATAAAGTAATATGTTATTCTAAGTTCTCAGTGAAATCAGAGTTGTCTCAGATTGGTGGAAACTTTTCAGTTGAATGTTTCTCTGCCTCAATGACTTATCTGTAAAATGGGGAAAATGCCATCCCTTCTCTTCACAGTAGCTTTGTGAAAATAATTCTTTATTGTTACTGAGGCACTCAGACACAATAACATACACTGGAAAGCACATGACGAAAATAATAATTCTGGGATTGAATGATGTGCAAGAAGGAAGGAAGGTGTCATGGAACCACAGTTTGAAAAATGGGGAGTAAACAAAATATGGAATAACTGCTCATTAATCTATACTGACAGTAGCAGGGGGCACATGTGATCATGCAGTTAGGCTGTTTGATGCAGACACACAGGGAAACCCCATGTTAAAATTGCACAGGCAACCTGAACTTTGTCATTTCCTAATTTGGGAGGGTGTTTAATTTGCACCTTTACTAATGTTCTTTCACTGTTCATCTGTCAAATAATGCCACTTTTAAGTGACAGGATTAGTGACATGCAGAGAGAGGCAGGATCGGAGGTCTATGGGTGGAACCGAATTTTCTATTCTGGCTGAACCGAGCTGGGCACAGGAGTGCCAGGGAAGTAGCCATGGAAAAATGGTTTCAAGTCACCTATGTACTTCCTTTATTAATTATTGGCTCTGCCGAAGGCCTGCTCCACTTCTGGGCTTCTGTAACTTAGTTTTGGCAACAATGCCCCACCTTCTTTTTTACAATCAAAAGTAGAGCACAGCAGAGTTCTGGTCCCAACTTTAATATTCCACTTTTGCTGTGGGCTGCAAGGGGGGCCATTGTTGAGTCATTTCACCATTGCCATAGCACTGAGGGAACCTGGGATTTAGTTGGGATTGGTCCTGCCGAGAGCAGGGGGCTGGACTTGATGACCTTCTGAGGTCTCTTCCAGCTCTATGGTTCTATGATTCTATGATTTCCCAGTTTCACCTCCATTATGACTCACTTACTCTACTGGCATGGAATAAAGTGACTGCAACAAATGAGAGACTCAGGTCCAGGAAGTCCTGAGTTCCAATACTGCCCACATAACACATGCATGGAAGCCCTGGGCAATTCAGATAGCTTCTTGTGCTGGCTTCTCTATCTGTACAATTGGACTGCAGTATTTAAAAAATTGCTTTTGCAGGAGGGTCCTGAAGAACAGTATATTATTATATATATTAGAAACGTGCATCTGTCTGTCTGTGAGCAGAACCTCTCACATGAAACAAACTCATTTGTTCAAGAACTCCTCCTAAATGGTAAGAGTTGGGACCAGCAAATGTGGTATACAGCTTCCTGTTATCATAACGTAAAGCAAGGTCAGGGTTTGATTGTGCCAGGCTAATGGGATGTGCGTGGAATTTTATTGTTTCTCATACAATGGAGAGGGAGGGGCATGGCAGGAGGGAGTTATACTATAGAATGACCACAGGAGGGCACCAAGGGGCCAGAGATGGAGATCGGGACAGCTACAACCCCATTGGGCCAGTAGGGGGCAGGAGGGAAAAAGGGACAGTTATCTACTATATATTTCAGAGTTTGACTATTTGTCGGTGTGTCTGTCTGTCCTCCAGTTGAGGGACATAGACACCTCTCCCCGGTTGTGCCCACAGGAGCTGCAGCAGCCATGGAGAGGTGCTTCTCACCTGGCCCCAACCTGCTGGGAAAGAGGTCTGGGGTTGTCCCCTCTCTCCAGGGCAGCCCGCACACTATCCCCAGCCTCTCAACCTCAGCCCCACCGCAGAAGAATGATTTAAATGAAGAAAAATAACACTTATTTGAATTAAGGATCCGAGCAATGCCAGGTAAATCATAGAATCATAGAATCATAGAATCATAGGACTGGAAGGGACCTCGAGAGGTCATCGAGTCCAGCCCCCCGCCCTCAAGGCAGGATCAAGCTCCGTCTACACCATCCCTGACAGATGTCTATCTAACCTGTTCTTAAATATCTCCAGAGAGGAAGATTCCACCACCTCCCTTGGCAATTTATTCCAATATTTGACCACCCTGACAGTTAGGAACTTTTTCCTAATGTCCAATCTAAACCTCCCCTGCTGCACTTTAAGCCCATTACTCCTTGTCCTGTCCTCAGAAACCAAGAGGAACAAATTTTCTCCTTCCTCCTTGTGACACCCTTTTAGATATTTGAAAGCCGCTATCATGTCCCCCCTTAATCTTCTTTTTTCCAAACTAAACAAGCCCAGTTCATGAAGCCTGGCTTCATAGGTCATGTTCTCTAAACCTTTAATCATTCTTGTCGCTCTTCTCTGTACCCTTTCCAATTTCTCCACATCTTTCTTGAAATGTGGCGCCCAGAACTGGACACAGTACTCCAGCTGAGGCCTAACTAGTGCAGAGTAGATCTTCTTGTTGTAAATGACTGTAAAGCTCTTTGCAGCTGTAGAGCACTAGATTGGTACAGAGCAGAGTTATGTCAATAAAACCTTGCAAGCTGCAATGTTTGGAGTCAGATCCAGAGCCTGTGCTAGTCATAGGTGACATTTCAGGAACTCAAGTAATAGAGCGAGTAAATCAGTTTAACCAACACTGCAGTGTTATTCACAAAGGGACTGTCCCCCTTGCATTTAGGATATCAAGAAAAGCAGTTCTGTCTGTGCAGCTGAAGGGAGGGGCATGGCCAAATGCCAGATCTGCTCCTGAGCAGCTGTGTGGAGTAACCCATGCTCAGTAATACCTGGAACCTTGCGAGAAGGAGTATGGTCTCAATTGGTCATATGCATCACTGACGCTCTCATTAGAGTGACATCAAGGATGTCCTAGGCCCAGTAGCTGCATTACCTTAGGCAGAGAAACCTATGTTCTTGGCAGGGCTGCACAACAGAGATATGAGATGGGGCACAACTAGGAAATTGGGCCATTCTCTTGGTAAAAGGGGAAATTAGGCCTGGATTCAATGGAACAGTGATAGATGGCTAGAGCGAGGAGCACAGAGTGCTCTTACATAAGCCACACAAATGTATCAAGAAAAGCACACGAGCTTGCACGCTCCACAGCTAAATCCTTCGTTTCATGTGGGAGGTTTGTCTGCTTTTTTCCTGGAGCTACCTCTGAGCACCCCACCATGAAGCTTTCCTGTGTGGTAGTATTCTCCCGGTCTTGTTCTGTGGGGATGCTTTATTAGCTGGCACGCTAAGATTTGTGTTGTACTTCGTTTTTATTTTTAAAATGCTGCTGTCACTCTGGGCGTTGCAGGACACGTTTTGCTTAAATATGCAACTCTGTTCACACCCGCAACTCTCTCTCCTTTTGCTTGGCTACCCTCCAGAAAGATTCAGTAATGGAAAAATCATTTCACAGCACTACAAAAGGCGATCTGATGAAGAGCTGTTTATTAGGATTTCACTCTTGCAGGCTTTTTTTTTTTTTTTTTTTTTTTTTAAAGAATGTCAATGTAATTTATCTTCAATAGATCAGTTCATTATAACTGCTTTTCTCCATGTAAAATTCCTCAGCTTGATTCAAGTTGACAATTGGCTGAGAATGAAGTGGGGGATTCTTTTATTCTTCCCTCTCAAACAAGTTTAATCTTCTTCCAAGGTTAGGTTCAATTGAAAATAGGACAGCATGACATCTCCAATAGATTTGGCTAATGAAGGGGTATACTTGTCAGATGAATGTTGCCAGAAAAAAAGAAATATAGAATTTTAAACCTATGAAAATGCTTAAGAAAGCAGAATTATAGTCCAGGAAAGGACTCCAAGAACCTTGGTGCTTATCTAACAGATAGATTCCCCACCTCTGCTGTTAATAGGGACAAGTCTTTTGCTAGAATCTAAGAAATACATCAATAAATTGAAACACAGCTCATAGGTAGCGAGTGGGTTTTATTCAAACAGACTGATGTTGGAGATGTTGCTGATTATATAGAGCATCAAAAACTCATAACACTGACGAGGAAGAAGCGTGTATTTATTTATATCCCTTCCCCACTTTAAGAATCCAGTTTCTTTAACCTTCACCTTATGAGGCTAAGGTTCAAATCCAGCTAACGTGATACGAGGTTGGTTGTTTCAGCCTAGGGATGTTTAATATCGGTTAATTGAATAGTCAATTAACCTCATGAATTCTTATTGGTTACTCAACTATTCTATAGTCTCTGGGGGTGGGGCCAGCAGCCAGTGCACTCCAGCCCCACTCCTGAGGAGCCCCCCTGCCCCTTGGTGCTGCTCCCTCTGTATCAGAGGCAGCAGTGTGGGGTGCCAGGTGGGAGCTGGTCCACAAGGGGAGCCAGTTTAAAAACCAACTCCCCTCATGGACCAGCTGCCTGTCGCCCCATGCTGCTGCTGCTGATAAAGAGGCAGCAGTGGGGGGTGGCAGCAGCCAGCCCCTGTCTGGGGGGAGGTCCCGGACCCAGCATGAGCTGGAACTGAACCGGGCTGCCTGCCCCCTGGCTCCTAATACACTTTAAAAGTAGAGATGCAGCCAGAGGTAGGTCCCGGACCCAGTGCAAGCCAGGACTGAGCTGGGATGCTGGCCAGCCTGCTAAAAAATTTACTGGCAAAGAGTGTGGTGGGGGAGGGGGAGGGGACAGAGGGGGGAAGAAATGCATGTAGTGTATAGCATTAACCTATAAGATTTTGCTTATCTGTTAATCAGTTAATCGACTACATGTTTACATCCCTATCTCAGCCCCATTTCTGGTGGATGTTCGTCAAGCATCGAAATGTGGCACAAAAGAGCAAGCAGTGCCCGTTCTTGGGAACTGATCCAAAGTCCCTTGAAGCCAGTGTCTTTTCAATGAGCTTTGGGTCTGCAGCTCAGAGAGGGGCATTCCTTCTGCTGAATGGCCACAGACATTGGGCAGCTTGCAAAGTGCTTGGCCGGCCCCCCGCGTCAAAAAAAACCAGATCTATTTCCTCTGCACACGTTTGCGTGCTACCTTACTTCTGTGCTACATCTACACTGCCCAGTCTTGCTCAAGAGCATATGCAAATGAGCCACCATTTTTGCGCAAGGGGCTTTTGAGCAAGAAGGGTTTTTTGTGCAAGAAGGAGCAGTGTAGACAAAAGCCCCTTGTGCAAAACGGCGGCTCATTAAGTATGCAAATGAGGCACGGCTATATTCATCACCGCGCCTCATTTGCATATGTTCTTGTGCAAGATTGGGCAGCGTAGAAATAGCCCTGAAGTAGTCCCCTTCATTTGCCTCCTAGACTGCGAGCTTTCTGGGGGCAGGGCTTGTCTTTCTTGTACTTTCCTGGACAGTAAATTATGCAATGGGGTGTCTAAGTGCAGTTGTAAAAATAATTGATTTCAATTAGACTGCTTGCAGAGTCAGGCCACAGCATGAGGCAGGGAGGCAGCATCGTTTAGCTGATGCTGTTATCTTGTCCCAGGATCATGGAAATCCCATCCCTGGCTTTAAATAACGATGAGACTGTTCAGTTTTGCTTTGACAAATGAACCATGTCCCAGTGAAAAAGGGTCAGCTTTCTCTAGGTCAGCAGATGTATTCTGTCTGGTCTGGCATGCACGCTGTCTGCATATTACCTGGGAGATCAAAGTCTTGTGAGTCTTACAGGCACTCTAGGTACCTGGGTGTGCATTGGTGTGTATAGGCAAGGGAAACAAGTTAACACAGATTCGTTATTGCCATGAGGTGTTAAGAGAAGAAATGTTTATTCTTATTTTTTCCAGGAGAGCACAGGTTGGACCTCCCTGATTCCGCACCCTCAGAATCCTACTGGTCCCAAATGAGGGAGTTTTCCGGACCAGAGGAGGTCAATACCGGCCCTCCTGCCACTGGCTTGGCAGGGTTCCTGGTCTCAACAGGGCTGCTGGCTCTTTTATCACTGGCCCAGTAGGGCTGCTGGCCGCTGGATCTGTCACAACTGGTCCTGACCCTAGCAGAGTTGCTGGCCTCTCTGCCTCTGGCCTGGCTGGGCTGCTCAGCAGGGTTCCCAGCCCCACTAGTGGTCCCAGCCATCAGCCCTGGGGCGCTCTTGTCCCGGAACATCCATGGTCCAGCAGGACCAGCGAGTCCTTGTTTAGAGAGGTTCAGCCTGTAGTAGTAATGGTGAAAACACCGTAGATTCAGAGATTCGGTTCCGTTTTTTAAGACTTGTATTTTAACAAGAGAAAAAGTAAATGAAAAAAAGATGTCTGAAAAATGAGAAAGGCAGGCTGAGCCTGTTGAAAAACATTAAAACTAATGACATAAAAGAGGTAAAAGAATATTTGGAAATGCAGACTTTATACAAATCAGCCTGTCTCAACTGAATGTATCCTAGGGTATGTCTACACTACCCCACTAGTTTGAACTAGGAGGGTAATGTAGGCATACCGCACTTGCAAATGAAGCCCGGGATTTGAATTTCCCGGGCTTCATTTGCATAAGCGGGGAGCCGCCATTTTTAAAACCCCGCTGGTTCGAACCCCATGCAGCGCGGCTACACGGGGCTTGAACTAGGTAGTTCGGACGAGGCTTCCTATTCCGAACTACCGGTACACCTCGTGGAACCGGTGTACTGATTGGTTTACCTAACTTGGCGATTGAAGTTATGCCATTTCTTATGCACATTTGCTATAGAAATTCTTTTCCCACACAAGATTTAACCTGGTTACCAAAATGGGAGGTTAGTAAGGTATAAATAGCAACGTTCTATCCCATTACCATTAATCCCGGCTCTTTGAAAGGTAGCACTGTTTACAATGTCATTGTTCCTCTGGGAAAAGCCAGAGCATAAAGGTTATTATATTTATTAGCCACTTCAGTGGTTCAAGTCTGAGTTATGAACAAAGTCATAAGTATGAAATTAATGTTGTGATTTGATTTTTAAGGAGAAAGAACTTACTGATAATTTAAGTTCAATAGAAGCAGGACTATGTCTGAGATATGTAATGACCGTGTCCAAAGCAGACTGACTGATATGGCAGCAGTGCACCAACCTTGGAGTACATTTTATTCCAGAATTGAAATTTAGTAGGTTTTTTTCATTCAATTGATAACTTCATGAGAAAGAGAGAGAGAGAGAGAATGGGGGGGGAGGAAGAAAGAAAAACCCAAATGTACAATGGAAAAGTAGAGAACTGAGTGGAGAGTCAGGGGTGGAGGATGTCCTGGCTTTCTGGGAAAGTCTTGCTGAGCTCTTGGGCCCTGCCAGGGAGACCCTGGGCAGAGCCCAAGGGAAGAGGAAGGCCTGGTACACCCGCAGAGAGTGGGCCTGCGCCGGCCCCCTCAAAGTCATCCAGTAGCCAAACAAGGTGGAACCGGCTCTTGCAGGACGCCGCCGTGGCAGGCCCAAGAAAAGGGGAGCGCCAATGTCACAGCCAATGCTTTACGCGGTGGGAGACCCAAACTTCCCCAGGCCACCAGCTGAGTGACCCCGCTCATTTCAGTCTGCCTTAGAGGGATCCACATTCTTCTGACTCCTCCAGTCCCCACGGCCAGGATGTCACCTCACGCACCATCCACAAGGGACACTGTGAACTCTGTGGGCCGGATTCTCCTTTACACAAGGGCCCCTTTACACCACTCTGGTGGCCCGTAATGGCCCTAGGCTAGCATCAGTTACACCAATGTCAGTTTGAAGGTCACCTGTACATTGCTAGAGTTGCGTGAAACAGAGACGCGTGTAAATGGCCCAATATTTATTATTGTTTAGCTGCTATTTATTATGTATGTTGTGCTCATATCCCACAGATTTGCCCACTTGAAAACAGTGATAGAACAGAGTTTCACCAGCTTCAGTGCTGCTACGCTGGTTTCTGTTAGCTGAGGATCTGGCCCCACATTTGATTTTTATTTCTTTCCTATGAAAGAAACCAACTCTTATTACACACACTTTCGTAGGACCAGTACAGTGTGTTGCTGTCTTCACTGCAAATGGCTTCCTAAGGAGAGCTCTTTTCATCACTTCTGAACAGGGGGAAGGGGATCAGGCACCTGATCCTGCCAGTTCTTTCTGCCTGGCCTACTCTAGCGCTCCTTACTTCTTAATTTGGCTCGATGCAGAATTGAAGCAAATGGTCAGTCTCCCTGGTATCAAGGTACTAAACACAGGAGACTGAAAGGCTGAATGAAAAACAGAATTTCTCTCATTCTGAGCATTCCGATGTTTTAACATTTGTTTTTAATCCCACAGCTGGGTGCTAAGTCAAAATATCAAATTTTTCATGGCACGAAAAGTTAAAAAAAAAAACGATTGAGAAATGTTAGCATTAAACCACACCTGCCATAGGTGCCCCTGGTGGCCAGTGGGAGTTGTAGTTCACATGCCTCATTGTCCTCATTCTTTCCTGTGGACTGATCTCCCTTGTCCCTGCATCTCCCACAATGCACCTGCAGTCTTGTGACTCCCATGATGCACCAAATGTAGCAGTCAGAGTGAATACTGCAGCAAGAGCTTTATTGCTCTCTTTCTGCATCAATGAGCATTGGTCTGAAGATGGACAGAGTGAAAATTGATGTAAAAAAGAAGAGGAGGAAGATGATCAGGCTTTTTACCATTCCAGAAAGCCTGTAAGTTTGGATTCAGGCAGAGTATAAGGGCTATGTGCAATTTCTCACCCAAACAAAACAAATTAAATTTGGTATTTAACTACTTATGTGAAAAAAATACTGAAAACAGAAACCACCCTAGCTTATCTTTTATGTAGCTCTGCAAACTTGTGCAACAAGCAAAACCTTGTGCTAATCAATACAATCAATGGTATAGTCAGAAAAGTTAGATCCAAGGGAAAATAAGATTGCGAAAACAAAAAGTAGCCAGAGAAACCAAAACCAAAATGCAGGACTCATAAATGAATAATAAAGTCTAATTGGTAGAAGTTGCAAATTCAGGTTTCTTGTTCTTGAGATAGAGTCACTTTCAAGATGGAATTTTGGATAAGCAAATTTCTAAGGAACAGTGGTGGTGTTAGTTTAAAAATCATTTTGTGAAAAACCTTACATAGAAAATTGTTGCCTGATTTGTCAGTCACCTCCACATATCAATATGGAAAATGTGCTGTTTCTGCTTAACACATGCAAAGAGCTTTCTGCTATTTGGCTGTTTTAATTGGAAATATGAAGATTTACTTTGCCTTTGTTTTCCACCTTGCCTGAAGAGCTTATGCAGCTAAGATGAATCTAAATTGACACTATGAAGATTTCTTTCCAGCTGATATTTTTGCTAAAACATTGACTAATTGTGAAAACAGAAAGAAGGAAAGAAGGAAGGACAATCAGTGAAGCCTGCTTTATAAATTGCCACACTTAATAGCCTTAGTATTGGCCATGGGTGTCCAAACAGGCTGATAGATCCTTGGAACACAGATTTAATGACCTGTTGGACCAGAATCAGATTTTTTTAAGGTAGGATTTTTCTTGCTAACAGAACTATCCCAGCACTGTCCCATAAAGAGGAGGACACTCCATCCCTGAGGTTAGAAATTAACACAAGTTCCACCTTTCCTTGTGCATTTTGAGAAAGAGAAAATGTGGGCTTAAGCACTATTTGAAGATGGCAAGGAATTTAATTCCAGATTGGAAAATTGCATTGTTTAAATCTAGCTCCAGGATTTTTTCATTTGCAGCCATTGGTACCAAAGATGAGCTAGTTGGTACATGAAAAAATGAATGATCTACATCTATTTGCCTCCTGAATTATTACAAGATGCAAAAATAAACAGACAACATTGTGGATATGAGGATCACGCTCTGTCTTTGAACACTAGATATATCAAGTGATTCCTCAGCTGGGAGGGCAATACCAGTGGTAATCAACTGTCCTACATATCCCACCCAGTGGAAACATGCAGGATTGTGATTATATTAAATGCCTCCATTATTTATACTCATGCAAACCCATTGAATTCAGTGGGTGCAGGCAGAGGTAGAATTTGGCTCTGATTTTTGTGTGTGAGTGTGTGGGGAAGTTATAAAAAAACACACTAAGACAGAATCTGATCACAGTCCAGATACAGCCCAGGGCATAGGCCTGGGAACTAGGGGTAGGGGGATACTGCTGCAACGTCAGGCTCCTGGCCTACTACTTGGGGTCCCAGCTGCCAGCCCCATGAGGACTCTGCTGAAAGCCCCACACAACTGTTTGCCGCCCTGTGCGCCAGGGACTCTGCTGCCAGCCCCATGTGCCGGAGTCCTGGTTTGAGCCCTGGGCTTTGGGGGCCTCTGCTACCAGCTCCAGACTTGGGGCCCCGGGTGTTGGCCCTGAGTGCTGGGGCTTTGCTCCCAGCCTCAACTAAGAGTGGGGATAGACAGGAAAAAGGGGGCTCAGCACCCCCACTTTTAAAAATGGCCCAGGGGAGCTGAGCCCAATGCATTCAGTCCCAGTGGCTTGAGCCAAAGAATCCAAAACTTCCCTGAGTTCTAATCCCAGCTCCGCCACTAACTGGATTCTGGGACTTTGAGACATTTAGGCCTGAGATGTTACGACTGCCCACTAATTTTGGTTGCTGTGCTTTTTGAGATGTTCAACTTAACATTTGTCTCTGTGATGGGACCCTCACCCATCAAAAGGGGTGAAAGAACTTCTGTGCTCACAGTCAGCCCCAGCTTACCTCACTAGTGCAGCTTGTCAGGCCTGGGGCCAGCCCCCTGAAAGGCAGGAACCCAACCCAGTTGAGGGGGTCTCTGGAACAAGTAGAGTGAAATTGCTCAGACCCAGACACTTAGCAACTGGGTGCTGCTAGTCCAAGCCCCCAGAGGAAAGAAGGGCCGGTTTGTTTCTTTTGTCAAAATATGCCTTTGGGCTCCAGACAAGCTGACAGATAGGCGTTGAGATTGCCTGCAGACCCTGAAAAAATTGCTTCCCCACCTCGGTGTGAAGGAAGAGGCTTGAGCCCGGGTGGACTGTGGAACTATTTTCCAGCTTTTCGTTGGACTGTTCTATGCCGCCTGAAACATCTGGAGGCTTAAACCCCAGGACTGGAGTATAGGACTG